CGGTATTTGAAAGTATAATTCAAGAGTTTACAAACACAAACATCAGTTCATGATTGTACAACTTTTTTTTATTAAATTATAGCTTTTTGAAGTTTAAATTTTTTGTTCTATATATTTACAATTTCATCCACACATAATGCAAACACACAATATTTAATCCATATTTCTATCAATTGAATATAATGGAGCATCGCCGAATAGTATGCAGCCAACAGAGAGATACATCCAATTAAATTTTTCGAGATTAAAAAACAATATAGAATAGAATAACAGACACGCATTAAAAGATTTTTCTAGTGTGTCCTAATGAAATAATTTTTTGTCGTTAACATAACATCCCTAAAAGCTCTAAGATAAAAACATACTAAATTTTTAAAATATTTACCGAGTAAATGAAATCTTCTAATACTTTAAAATGTTATCACGCTTATTACACTTAACGAGGACTTCGGTCACGTTTCGTTCACGTTTAGAAAGCTCGACAATACTTGTTTAATTAAAATACCGTCAGATTATTACTTACAACTTATGAGAGTTTTATTTTAAGACTTTAAGCGGAAGACTTTAAGCTGTTAGACTATTTCCATCACATGTTGCCTTGTAATTTCTTCATGTACGATTGATTTATAAAAGAGCAATTGTTGCCGTCAAGTTGCTCATAAGAGTTAATGGTAATAAAAGCCGGAAATCTATAATTGGCAAAATCGGAAGTCGGTTTTTTAATCATTGAAGGTAACTTAAGCAAAACAGTTTCAAACAAATTGACGACAATCTGTAGGCAATTTGATATCTGGGCAGATGAGTTTGTTTAGAGACCAGTATTTCCCAGATAGCCAAATGTATCGAATTTGCTGATATGTTTCCGAAAATTGTTGCAATAACTAATTTTGATAAAAAACTTGGGACAAAGTGAGACAGCATTATGTCTGTCACGTCGAACTCAATAGAATTCTAATTCTGAAAACAGCAATTTAAAAGCAATTTGTTGTCATCAACATGCTGTCAATGGCATGTTTAAAGTAACATTATGGCAACATATGCCAACCAATAATCACTATATATGCTATATATACGAAGGGATATCATCAAGAAGCTATCGATTTATTTGCTATAATCAAATTTATAATTAATTATTTTCATATGAGAACAATTTCATATAATGAGGAAGCACCTTGTTCTCTACTTTGTCGACATTTATTATTGCAACGGTAACAATATGATACCTTAATTGAATAACAACGGTATAAAGACTCTTTATATATAACAAAATAAACAAAGTAAACGGCGAAATAAGAGTCAACGCATAACACATTTAATTAAAGATATTAGTCAAAAATACATAAAGTAAAAAACGAAGCAGAATGGCGTATATCAATGTATAAAACAATTCAGAGAAAAGATAACATTACAAGTTTCCTACAACTGGGTAACAACTTCGCGCTCCCCTTTAACAACAAAAACAGAATCATTTTTGACTGCATCAAAGGTATTGAGAGTGGCACATTAAGAATGCCCTTGGATAGGAGAATGGATGTGATCAAACAGTCTATTCCCATCCTGAAAAACATCTCTTCTCCCGTCTTCACTTCTGATATTCACAAACAATTGGCTCGATTAGAGTCGGACACTCGAGTGTTTTGGCGCATCCCAACATCGTGTTTACGCTTGCGGACAACGTCACTGTGGCTATGGACAGGGACGCTTACAGAAATAAGATAAC